TGGTCTCTTGTCAGTCGCATTGAGGCAAGAATTGCCTCAAGCCCCCGACCCCCATGCTCCTTCACCAGCTCCGGCACGGTGACAATGGCCTGATGTTGAGGCTGCGGCTCTGGCTCAGGTGATAAAAGCCATGCCATGCCACACTGTGTGCCCCTCAGTGCAGACCTGAACCAGTCTACATCCTGAGTGGCGATGTCTCTGGCCAGTGGGTTGTATGTCTCCTCTTGCTGTTGATAGAGTTGAGACACCGGCTGGACTACTTTGGAAGTGCCAGGCTTCCTCCACTGGCACTCAACATCTGTGGAGCTGATCTGCCACATGGCAAATATTGCCAATGCTGCAGCGTGGCTGCATTTGTACATCCCCTGTGCACAATCACAGACAGCGCTCTGCATCGCGCCATCGTCTCCCATGCAGATCTGTAAAAATAAAGTAAGTACCATTTGTTAGCATGCTATAATAGATTGAATGAGCAATAATACAAGGATGGTCCGGATCTGGAGGTGGAAGGGTTTATTTTTCCATAGTTTTGTCCTCTTGTCTAATTGTTGTTATTGTTTGTTTTTTCTGTATTTTTTGTAATTTGTGCTGTATTGGTTGTGATTGTACATTGTATTTTTCTAAATGTGTATGAATACATTTTTGAAAAACATTTGATCAACAATAAAAAAGGATTTGGTCAGGATCTAGACTCAGTGTGTAGTTTATTAATTAATCAATGCTCTCTACATTAGGAAAACACATACCAGTGTACCAGAGGGAGTCACACACAGCTGTGCCTAGATAACCAAAATCCTTGAATCTACACACAGCAAATAAAGTCAAATGACACAACGAGAAAAAGGAGATCACACATACAGTATAGTCGATATAAAACTGGCCGCTTCAATCTGAAGAGCAACTAAAACAAAACACGGGAGTGTACCTTGTTCTTGTGAACACTAATGTTATCCACAGCATACACAGAGACCACGCATTTCTTAAGGAGAAAACTAGTTACTAAAACAAAACACGTTAGTGTACCTTGTTAGCTAATGTTAGCTAGCTGACATTAACGTTACACATTGCACTCATATTACTCACCGAAACCTTGTAAAGCCGGTCCCGCTGCTGTTACAGAACCGACTAACTCCCCTTTCGTGTATGTACAGCTCTCAACATGCCCAGACTTGTAGTGATGTTCACCTCGTTTTATACTTTTCGTCTCAGTCTGAAAGAAACAGGTGAAATTTGCTAACGTGACGGCCATCTTTGTGATGGTGACGCGTTTTGTGCGAGACCAGAGACCTGTAGTTCACTGAGCGGTTTCTCACAAACAAATGTGTAACTTCACAGTTTTACGACACATTTACATTTTTTTTACTTGTAAAATGTTCTTTTAAATTGACAAACATCATATGTGTCATTCGTGGCACAATTCAAACGGGATCAAAAGATAACCTTTCTCTCTCCATTGACTTCAATGTATAATGTTCCGCTTCCGGGGTCCCATGGAGGCTCCCGGAAGGGGAGGGACTTCGCCTCTCTATATTGTGTGTGGGTGTGTCCCCCGGAAAGTGGAGGATATTAATGATTGTGTTACATTTTAGCAGCGGTGCACATACCATGAATATGGGGACATGCCGGACAGATCTTCAAGTAAGGGTTACGATCCACCCGCTGTGAAATGAACTTATCTTCCATATTTGCCGTACACTTGTGTTTACGGAAGTTGAGATGTTTCTCGGTTGTGATTGGTTGTTCCTCGTCACATGACGAGCGGTGCGCGCTGCTGCAGTGCACGTCTCCATTGAAACCAATGGAAATGAGCTCGCAACGCTGATGTGTATGGCTCCGTACAAAGTTGTACTCATTGCATTAGTGTAGGCTACTGTAGATTTTTACACTGGAGGCACCCATCTCGGCCGAAGTCGGTTCATGTTAACCTAAAGGTACATCATTAAATGGTAAATGTCGCCTTTAAGGAGCAGAACATTTTTGTTTTATTTGTGTGTGAATAATGAAATCATTTCAAATATGTTTTTCTGTGATAGGTAATTGGTGTGGAGAAGATTGACCTCAGCCTTGCTTTGAACATTCTTCCAAAGGCTCTGTAGTAAATGGTGAGTATTCAAATGTTTTGTGTGATTTACTTGACTAACTTAAACTTGATCTTTAACTAATTGAAAACTGGTATTAGTCTGACAATTTCTGAATGTTTATTCATAACATTTACATACTGCAAACATTGCAGGGATAAACACATTTTCTGATTTATTAGGCAAAAGTGATTCAGAAAGTGAGAGGCAATAGCCAAACATTCTGCGATAAAGCCTCCTTCACAAAAGTGATAATGTTTTGTTTGTTGAAATGGCTATAAGGGTGTTTCTTATATGTAGTCTTTAAAAAAAACGTAAACTAAATGAAATGTAATGTAGTCTAACCTGAGGCCTGTACTACGAAGCTGGTTCAACCTAACCTGGATATGTTTGAGTTAGCCGGTTGGCCTAATCCAAAACATACGCGCTCTCACTAAACTGTACTACGACGTGGGTTATCAAGTGGATCGCTCAAGCCAGCCGTGTCCTATCTAGTTAGGTGCGCGTTCACATGAAAGGGGTGGTATTTGGAGCATTCGACCAATCACAAACATGGAGAAGCGTACTGACAGCTCAGCGTCATAGTTACTGAATGAAAAGTCAACTATAATATTAGACAAATATGAAGACGTTAAACTTTAAACATCCATGACTTTATCCAGGATCAAAGCCACATAGCTGCACCTGCAAGGTGAATACAGCTGGCAAAAGAAAAATTGTTTGAATGCATACATTAACAGGTTTATGATATCACTGCCCCGTCTAAGAGACGAGTGGATCTGACTTTAATTACATTTGTCTCGAGTGTTTCGTCAACTTAATGTGTTGCTTAAAATAATCCTTCTGCATACAGTATGTGACACTAGTGCTGTAGCGAGGCGTCGACGACGTCGACGTGTCGACTTCAAAATATCGTCGACGACATATTTCCGCGTCGACGCGTCGCTACCTTTATATATACAGTCTATGGTCGCTACACACACGTGGGTCACCCAAAGCAACAAGCAGTTCGCAATCGCACTTCAAACACAATGGAGACTGAAACGGCTACCACCTACTCCTCACAGGATTGCGCACGAAGCCCCCAAACAAAAACATCTCGCCCTAGGTCTTCAAAAGCATGGGAATATTTTAAAGTTTGTCCAAAACGCAAAGATATTTATATATTTATATCTCACTGAGACTGCTGCATAGCCTAGGCCGGAAGCAGCAGCTAGCTGTGGTGGCTACCATTAGCAGCTAGCATTTGCTCTCCGATTTTTACATAAAAATGGAATTATGGATTATAAATTCAATATTTTTTATACATAGACGTTAAAAACCTATGGATTAACCGATTCAGCCGTGTTTTTTCTCATTTTAATGCCATTGAACACGTCTTTTGATCAGATTGACAGCTACGGTGGTGAGACGATCTCCCTAGAAGCTCTGTAAAGGTACGTGTTGTGATGACTGTATTTGCTTCCCCTGTCGCGAGTCCGGATCACTCAGTGATAATACTATATACCTACATAATCTGTGGAGTCTCAGCTTTAATCGGATATATTGTATGTGCAGCTACGATAAGTAATAAGGGTACTTTTATCTTGAGTTCTGTGCCAATGTCCGTTAGCATTTTTCGCTCAGGGGTCATTTAGATGCTTCTTATGAGACTTGTGTTTTGTTTTGGTAAACATGGTTTGTATCGTCAGTTAGCTGAGATTATTTCCGTTAATCTGGTATAACACATTAATAGGTTCTTAATATTAAGACACAGTATCGTGAAACATATTTTTTTACATTACGTTTTTTTTACATTACGTTTTTTATGAATTGAACAACAGAAAAATAATCGTTATGTCGACTAATCGATCAAATAATCGCCCGATTAATCGTTTTCAAAATAATCGTTTTCAAAATAATCGTTTCCCCCCAGCACTATGTGACACTGTGAGTGTTGCACGGCCAGATACGACTCAGCTGACTCAGATAAGGAGATATATGATACATTATGATGTGATATGCCGCGAATGAGTTGCAGGCGAACTTGAGCTCCAGGAGAAAACCCTAAATATGAATGTTCATGGCCTCAGTTTTCTTCATATTTACTGCCAGTACTTTTGTACTATGTGCAGCTGTTGTTGTATTTTTTCAGTTTGAGACAGTAGAGAACACCATCATCAGCATAAAGCAGAAACTTCACCTCATTATAGAGAGACCAGCAGCAGCACATTGCGCCAACCCAACAAGATTTAATTCATATATACATTAAATAACGTTTACATTTAAACCCTGAGCTTTGAATATACTTTAACAGCTCTTATGAAATCCTCACATTTTTGAAAAACAACAAAAACAAAACAATGTAATTGAACCCAAAAGTAGAAACACCAAAAACAATCTGTACAAAGATATTCTATTGTTGTTGCATTTATTAAATTCAAAGTTGTTTAAATCACAAATAGAACAGATACCGGTACTTTAGTAACCTAAATGTCATAAAGTAATGAATATATACTGTATATGTTTACACAGTGAGGCATACAAATAATACATTTAATTAACATTTTATTTTAAAATCAAGTCTAAACACAACTAAAAAACACTAAATATGAAAATGTGAAGGAAGGGAGGGGGTGATGTAGGAAGAAAGAGGTGAGGGAAATGGAGGAGAGAGTTTGGGGTGAAGTGAGGGGAGAGTATGGAGGAAGTAGGTAAATAAAGGATGGAGTAAGGTGAGAGAGGGTGAGGTAGCAGGAAGTAGGTACAGTAAATGGGGGAGGGACTTAATAGTGAGTTTTTTTACATCTATTATACAGATTGTGGGAAAACCTGAGCTCCAGGAGAAAACCCTGAGTATGAAAAGGGGAAGGCAGTAAGGGGTGAGGTAGGAGGAAGGAGGTGAGGGGAAATTGAGAAGAGAAAGAAGAGAGGAAAAGGCAGCTACTGACGTCCAGCCTCCTCCTTCTCCTCTTTCTCCCCCTTTGCTTTCTTTCTCATCTCCTTCTCTTGCATCTTGCGTAGCATTTTCTGCAAAATGGCGTCCCTTTCCTCAGTCGCCCTCCTGCGAGCGAAGAATCCTCTGCTCTTATTCTTCATGTGAAGACACAGGTCCTCCAGAAGTGTCTTTTCGTTGTCCATCTTCTTCTCTTTAGCCTCACAGCTCTCCTTCGCCTGTTTCAATTGTATCTCCTTCAAAATAACCCTGGTTTCCCAGCGCTGGTCTTTCTGGGTCAGGTCTTCTGAGAACTTTTCCTCCTTCTCTCTCATCTGGTCTTCAAGCTGCTTGACATCCGTCTCCCAGCTTTTTTTTAACTTGGCCAAATGATTCTTTTGCTTCTGCACCTGTTTGCATTTAGCCTCCACCTGTTTTAGCTGAGTCGCCCAGCTCTGGTGTTTTTCGGCCAAATCTTCAGAGAACTTTTTCTCTTGCTCATCCAGGTCGTTCTGCAGCTGCTGGACTTTCATGTCCTTCTGTTTGAAATCGATCTCCCAGCTCTTGTTTTCCTGGATCAGGATATATATGGATTCCTTGGCCTTTTCAAATTTTGCCTTAACCACTGTCTCCCCGATCAGCATTTTCAGAACCAGGTTGTCCTTCTTCTTCTCTTCCTCTTGAAATGTGGTTTTCATGAAATTAACCTTGGTTTCGCAGCTCAGGTGTTCTTCTGCCAGGTCTTTGGAGAAGTTGTCCTCCTTCTCTCTCATCTGGTCTTTCAGCTGTTTGACATCCGTCTCCCAGCTTTTGTTGTTCTTTGCCAGATGCTCGTTCTCCTCCTCCACCTGTTTTAGTTTGTCCTCCACCTGTTTGAGCTCAGTCTCACAGCTCAGGTTCTTCTTGGCCAGGTCGTCCTTTTCCTGAGACACCTCTTTTAGTTTGGTCTCCATCGAGATCTTTTCTCCCTGCTTTTCCAACTGGTCCACCAACTTTTGGACTTCCTTCTCCATGGCTTTGATTTTACAGGTCTGGTAAGTGTTGTGCTTCATCACCTGTTTCAATTTCAACTCCATCTTTTGTTTTTCCGTCTCCAAGGTGTGGTTTCTAGCGACCTGGTAGTTTTTCTCTTCCACTACATACTTCATGCCTTGTTTCTCACTCTCCCAGCTCTGTTGTTTCTCAGCCAGGTCCTTGGTGGACTTTTCCTGGCTCTGAATGAGTTCTTCCTCTCTTCTTTTCAGCAGGTTTATGGTCACCAGGTTCTCCTGCAGCTGCTGCTTGTGTTGCGCCTCTTTAGTTTCCATTTCCTCCTCCAGAGCGCCGTATCTTTCCTCCCAGATTGTCACACAATCAAGGAGTTCATCTCCTCTCATCACCAGCAGTTTTACGGTCTCTGCGTCAAACTGCAGGAGACTCTCATCGTTCTGGCTGTCGGATGTCTCCATGTTGCTCTGGTCTGACTTTGTTCCCTCCATGGCACTGTCTGTGGACTTGTGTTGTGCGTAGGGATAAAAATCTATGTGTCTACGTGATACGTGTTTTGTCTAGAAAACTGTAAAGTTTGTTTGCTCTGACTGAATATGTGTACCACTCACCGCTCTGAACTGAACAACTGAATGAGTTGACTGGAACCCAAAGCTCTTGCTATGCAAAGCTCTAAACCACCTGTGATGTCACGTGATGATGTCACCGATTCTACTTTCAACTGTGAAGATGTCATTCCGTTAGGGTCACATGTGATTCCGTTAGGGTCACATGTGATTCCGTTAAGGTCACATGTGATTCCGTTAGGGTCACATGTGATTCCGTTAAGGTCACATGGGATTTTGTCGTAAAATGCGATTAATTTGTCCCACTTTATGACTTTATAAGCATAATAAATGTTGTGCTTTAAGGTCTTTATAGTTACACAATGCCAATATTTAATTTTATGAATTTTCTTTAAGTTGTTTGGAGTCAAAGGTAACAAGCCTCTTTGTAAGCACAAATTTGTATTCATACAAAAATATAATTATGTATTATAAGTGCATTATTTGTGTGTTTGTTTCTACTTAGACACACTTACAAAATACTGACATTATATACAGATTAGGTGATTTAAAAAGAAAATCTTAATTTAAAAAATAACAAAAAAATTAAATGCATGATGCTTTTGGGCAAAACCTAATAACTGAATGCCTCCCTTATTGCTGACAGGATTTCATGATTTCATGACTTTATAAGCCCAATAATGTTTGTGTTTCGAACACTTTACAGTTACGGAGCGTCCACACTACAGCTTCAAAAAAAGCTTGGAGCTGGGCGTGTCTGAAGCTTGGGGATTTTATTCGAGCAACGCGACCAACAACCAATCACATGAATCTCCCGCCCCCGACATACAAAGCAAAAAACCCCGGGGATTTTATGCGAGCAATATATATATATATATAAACTCCCCAAACAGGTGAAAACCTACCAGTTTCACCCACTGTCTCTGCCACCTCCCTCCATGCCTGGTTCCTCCGGGTTGTATCCCGGTAGGTGAAGAGGTTCTGGTCATACAAAACCGGGTGATTTGCTACGGCGATAAATAGTTTCTCCTCCATTTTTTTTTAAATATAGAAATGAACGGCGGGATATTTCTCCCAGCTTCGACGCGGTTTGATTGGCTAGGGCTTGAGCTGTCAGATTTTCAGAAACGGGATTTGATTGGCTGGCGCTGGCTACTCCGGCGTCTCCGGCGTCAGAAGTTGAACATTGTTCAACTTCTGACGCCGGAGACGGACCGCTATGCTACCCACAATTCAGTTCGGCAAAAAGCGAGGCAACGTGACGTCACCCCATTCAAAGTGAATGGGCAGACGCGTTGGAGACTGTTTTTGAAGCTGTCAACGCTGTAGTGTGGACGCAGCGTAACACAATGCAAAGATTTAACTTTATTTAATTTTCTCGATATTTATTTATTCAATGGTAACAAACCTCTTGCATAGCACAAGTGTCTTTTCTGTTAGTCTTGATCTCTGTTGTAATTATTTCAAGGATAAGAACTTTGGGTTCTAGCACTCCCAGACCATTTACATGCACAACAACTTATAACACACTACAGGAAAGGGAAAACCCCCCAAATCAGAATAAGGCCTCATATATAAAGACATTATAATTATAAACTTAACAATAGTTTATATAAACAGTCTATGATTGTGACACATGCCTGTATAAAACAAGTGAGAGATGGCTCTTCTGTAATTTCAGTGCTACACATAGATTTCACCACGATGGATCTGGTAACGTTTGAGAAGGAGAACTGTGAGCGTATCCAAGCCGTTGAGACTTCATTCGGACCGGCAGGGAGGCCTCTATCCCAGCCAGGGAGAGTTCTGGTGGGTCAGGGTCATAAAGCAAGGACGTACTAGGAAGCCAGAGCCTAAAGTTTTCTTTCTGTTCAACGACATGCTGGTGTACGGCAGCATCATCCTGAACGGCCGCTGGCACAAAAAACAGAAAGTCATCCCTCTAGGTAAGCAGAACCCTAGATCTATCCGACAGATTCAAAAGATTCGATTCAAAGGTTTTATTGTCATATGAACAGTGTAGAAATGGCTATGAAATTCTTCTGACCTGAGCTCCTCCAACAATGCAACATGTATAATAAAATACAAAAATACAAAATAAAAAGTAGTGCATTTAGTCTATATCTAGATAACGATGATATGATGGAATGTATACCTCCGTAGAAGCTTTAGTGATGAAGTGTTTGTTTTTGTTTTGCCTTGTTGTAACTTTATATTCACGTGCAAAAGATATCTACAACAGCAAAACAATGGAGGTGCATGGCATTTAAAGTACACTGAAAAAAAGGGGAAAGTGGGGTTGTTCAATTTGCAAATATGCAGTTAATATATGAGACATAATTTATTCATGTTTCTCGTCGAAACATGAATCAATCATGTGGAACTATTTTAATCTTGAGGGCTGTACGTTCTATAAGTCTCAATCATGTTAAGAAATAAGAAAAAAGTTATGTTTATCTCTGTAACTCCGCCCACTGAGCACATACGTCAGCATCTTGCTCTGCAGCCGATTACTCAGCTTCTAATTATTATTTACAAATATTTTATTCACAAATTAACATGGTCGGACTCAAACCCGTACTTTAATAGTTTCGTAATTGAACCTGAACAATATGGCACTTTAATGGACAAGATGTAAAGCAGAAAAAAATTGCAAAATATATTTATTTTTTAAAATGTGAAGCTTTTTATTTTTTAAACAAAGGAGGGGGGAGGGGTTCTACCATCTTTTCTTCCCGCATCGGAGGAGTAAGCTGGTTCTGTCCCGAGAACATCTCTACAAGGTAAAAGTTATTTAAAGTTATTTAATGTCATCAAATGTTCGTCATAGGTCATAGGTTATCACAAGACGCATTGTTTGCAAAAAGCAGAGTTCACATTTGCCGTTACAACGAGCAACGTAAATACAGCTGTCAATTTGTAAACATTGTCATTCACTGGTGATAGCTAGGATAAAGCCATGAAAATCATAAGGTGAGTTTATATTGATTGACTTGTGTTTAGCGTGTTTTTATACTGTGAGTATTTGTAGAGCGTAAGTCCGGCAGTTGCTTGATTTACAATATTTAAAACTATGAACCTTGCCCAACGTTATGCACATTAAACCAGATTAACTATGGACAATCATGCGATTAATCGCGATTAAATATTTTAATCGACTGACAGCCCTAATTTTTTTAAATGTGTATGAATACATTTTGAAAAACATTTGATCAACAAAAAAAAAGGATTTGATCAGGATCTAGACTCAGTGTGTAGTTTATTAATTAATCAATGCTCTCTACATTAGGAAAACACATACCAGTGTACCAGAGGGAGTCACACACAGCTGTGCCTAGATAACCAAACAAATTGACAAGATAACCAAAATCCTTGAATCTACACACAGCAAATAAACTCAAATGACACAAAGGAGATCACACATACAGTATAGTTGATATAAAACTGTCCGCTTCAATCTGAAGAGCAACTAAAACAAAACACGGGAGTGTACCTTGTTCTTGTGAACACTAATGTTATCCACAGCATACACAGAGACTACGAAGTTCTTAAGGAGAAAACTAGTTGCTAAAACAAAACACGTTAGTGTACCTTGTTAGCTAATGTTAGCTAGCTGACATTAACGTTACACATTGCACTCATATTACTCACCGAAACCTTGTAAAGCCGGTCCCGCTGCTGTTACAGAACCGACTAACTCCCCTTTCGTGTATGTACAGCTCTCAACATGCCCAGACTTGTAGTGATGTTCACCTCGTTTATACTTTTCGTCTCAGTCTGAAAGAACAGGTGAAATTTGCTAACGTGACGGCCATCTTTGTGATGGTGACGCGTTTTGTGCGAGACCAGAGACCTGTAGTTCACTGAGCGGTTTCTCACAAACAAATGTGTAACTTCACAGTTTTACGACACATTTACATTTTTTTGACTTGTAAAATGTTCTTTTAAATTGACAAACATCATATGTGTCATTCGTGGCACAATTCAAACGGGATCAAAAGATAACCTTTCTCTCTCCATTGACTTCAATGTATAATGTTCCGCTTCCGGGGTCCCATGGAGGCTCCCGGAAGGGGAGGGACTTCGCCTCTCTATATTGTGTGTGGGTGTGTCCCCCGGAAAGTGGAGGATATTAATGATTGTGTTACATTTTAGCAGCGGTGCACATACCATGAATATGGGGACATGCCGGACAGATCTTCAAGTAAGGGTTACGATCCACCCGCTGTGAAATGAACTTATCTTCCATATTTGCCGTACACTTGTGTTTACGGAAGTTGAGATGTTTCTCGGTTGTGATTGGTTGTTCCTCGTCACATGACGAGCGGTGCGCGCTGCTGCAGTGCACGTCTCCATTGAAACCAATGGAAATGAGCTCGCAACGCTGATGTGTATGGCTCCGTACAAAGTTGTACTCATTGCATTAGTGTAGGCTACTGTAGATTTTTACACTGGAGGCGCCCATCTCGGCCGAAGTCGGTTCATGTTAACCTAAAGGTACATCATTAAATGGTAAATGTCGCCTTTAAGGAGCAGAACATTTTTGTTTTATTTGTGTGTGAATAATGAAATCATTTCAAATATGTTTTTCTGTGATAGGTAATTGGTGTGGAGAAGATTGACCTCAGCCTTGCTTTGAACATTCTTCCAAAGGCTCTGTAGTAAATGGTGAGTATTCAAATGTTTTGTGTGATTTACTTGACTAACTTAAACTTGATCTTTAACTAATTGAAAACTGGTATTAGTCTGACAATTTCTGAATGTTTATTCATAACATTTACATACTGCAAACATTGCAGGGATAAACACATTTTCTGATTTATTAGGCAAAAGTGATTCAGAAAGTGAGAGGCAATAGCCAAACATTCTGCGATAAAGCCTCCTTCACAAAAGTGATAATGTTTTGTTTGTTGAAATGGCTATAAGGGTGTTTCTTATATGTAGTCTTTAAAAAAAACGTAAACTAAATTAAATGTAATGTAGTCTAACCTGAGGCCTGTACTACGAAGCTGGTTCAACCTAACCTGGATATGTTTGAGTTAGCCGGTTGGCCTAATCCAAAACATACGCGCTCTCACTAAACTGTACTACGACGTGGGTTATCAAGTGGATCGCTCAAGCCAGCCGTGTCCTATCTAGTTAGGTGCGCGTTCACATGAAAGGGGTGGTATTTGGAGCATTCGACCAATCACAAACATGGAGAAGCGTACTGACAGCTCAGCGTCATAGTTACTGAATGAAAAGTCAACTATAATATTAGACAAATATGAAGACGTTAAACTTTAAACATCCATGACTTTATCCAGGATCAAAGCCACATAGCTGCACCTGCAAGGTGAATACAGCTGGCAAAAGAAAAAGTGTTTGAATGCATACATTAACAGGTTTATGATATCACTGCCCCGTCTAAGAGACGAGTGGATCTGACTTTAATTACATTTGTCTCGAGTGTTTCGTCAACTTAATGTGTTGCTTAAAATAATCCTTCTGCATACAGTATGTGACACTAGTGCTGTAGCGAGGCGTCGACGACGTCGACGTGTCGACTTCAAAATATCGTCGACGACATATTTCCGCGTCGACGCGTCGCTACCTTTATATATACAGTCTATGGTCGCTACACACACGTGGGTCACCCAAAGCAACAAGCAGTTCGCAATCGCACTTCAAACACAATGGAGACTGAAACGGCTACCACCTCCTCCTCACAGGATTGCGCACGAAGCCCCCCAAACAAAAACATCTCGCCCTAGGTCTTCAAAAGCATGGGAATATTTTAAAGTTTGTCCAAAACGCAAAGATATTTATATATTTATATCTCACTGAGACTGCTGCATAGCCTAGGCCGGAAGCAGCAGCTAGCTGTGGTGGCTACCATTAGCAGCTAGCATTTGCTCTCCGATTTTTACATAAAAATGGAATTATGGATTATAAATTCAATATTTTTTATACATAGACGTTAAAAACCTATGGATTAACCGATTCAGCCGTGTTTTTTCTCATTTTAATGCCATTGAACACGTCTTTTGATCAGATTGACAGCTACGGTGGTGAGACGATCTCCCTAGAAGCTCTGTAAAGGTACGTGTTGTGATGACTGTATTTGCTTCCCCTGTCGCGAGTCCGGATCACTCAGTGATAATACTATATACCTACATAATCTGTGGAGTCTCAGCTTTAATCGGATATATTGTATGTGCAGCTACGATAAGTAATAAGGGTACTTTTATCTTGAGTTCTGTGCCAATGTCCGTTAGCATTTTTCGCTCAGGGGTCATTTAGATGCTTCTTATGAGACTTGTGTTTTGTTTTGGTAAACATGGTTTGTATCGTCAGTTAGCTGAGATTATTTCCGTTAATCTGGTATAACACATTAATAGGTTCTTAATATTAAGACACAGTATTGTGAAACATATTTTTTTACATTATGTTTTTTTTACATTACGTTTTTTATGAATTGAACAACAGAAAAATAATCGTTATGTCGACTAATCGATCAAATAATCGCCCGATTAATCGTTTTCAAAATAATCGTTTTCAAAATAATCGTTTCCCCCCAGCACTATGTGACACTGTGAGTGTTGCACGGCCAGATACGACTCAGCTGACTCAGATAAGGAGATATATGATACATTATGATGTGATATGCCGCGAATGAGTTGCAGGCGAACTTGAGCTCCAGGAGAAAACCCTAAATATGAATGTTCATGGCCTCAGTTTTCTTCATATTTACTGCCAGTACTTTTGTACTATGTGCAGCTGTTGTTGTATTTTTTCAGTTTGAGACAGTAGAGAACACCATCATCAGCATAAAGCAGAAACTTCACCTCATTATAGAGAGACCAGCAGCAGCACATTGCGCCAACCCAACAAGATTTAATTCATATATACATTAAATAACGTTTACATTTAAACCCTGAGCTTTGAATATACTTTAACAGCTCTTATGAAATCCTCACATTTTTGAAAAACAACAAAAACAAAACAATGTAATTGAACCCAAAAGTAGAAACACCAAAAACAATCTGTACAAAGATATTCTATTGTTGTTGCATTTATTAAATTCAAAGTTGTTTAAATCACAAATAGAACAGATACCGGTACTTTAGTAACCTAAATGTCATAAAGTAGTAAACTGTATATGTTTACACAGTGAGGCATACAAATAATACATTTAATTAACATTTTATTTTAAAATCAAGTCTAAACACAACTAAAAAACACTAAATATGAAAATGTGAAGGAAGGGAGGGGGTGATGTAGGAAGAAAGAGGTGAGGGAAATGGAGGAGAGAGTTTGGGGTGAAGTGAGGGGAGAGTATGGAGGAAGTAGGTAAATAAAGGATGGAGTAAGGTGAGAGAGGGTGAGGTAGCAGGAAGTAGGTACAGTAAATGGGGGAGGGACTTAATAGTGAGTTTTTTTACATCTATTATACAGATTGTGGGAAAACCTGAGCTCCAGGAGAAAACCCTGAGTATGAAAAGGGGAAGGCAGTAAGGGGTGAGGTAGGAGGAAGGAGGTGAGGGGAAATTGAGAAGAGAAAGAAGAGAGGAAAAGGCAGCTACTGACGTCCAGCCTCCTCCTTCTCCTCTTTCTCCCCCTTTGCTTTCTTTCTCATCTCCTTCTCTTGCATCTTGCGTAGCATTTTCTGCAAAATGGCGTCCCTTTCCTCAGTCGCCCTCCTGCGAGCGAAGAATCCTCTGCTCTTATTCTTCATGTGAAGACACAGGTCCTCCAGAAGTGTCTTTTCGTCGTCCATCTTCTTCTCTTTAGCCTCACAGCTCTCCTTCGCCTGTTTCAATCGTATCTCCTTCAAAATAACCCTGGTTTCCCAGCGCTGGTCTTTCTGGGTCAGGTCTTCTGAGAACTTTTCCTCCTTCTCTCTCATCTGGTCTTCAAGCTGCTTGACATCCGTCTCCCAGCTTTTTTTTAACTTGGCCAAATGATTCTTTTGCTTCTGCACCTGTTTGCATTTAGCCTCCACCTGTTTTAGCTGAGTCGCCCAGCTCTGGTGTTTTTCGGCCAAATCTTCAGAGAACTTTTTCTCTTGCTCATCCAGGTCGTTCTGCAGCTGCTGGACTTTCATGTCCTTCTGTTTGAAATCGATCTCCCAGCTCTTGTTTTCCTGGATCAGGATATATATGGATTCCTTGGCCTTTTCAAATTTTGCCTTAACCACTGTCTCCCCGATCAGCATTTTCAGAACCAGGTTGTCCTTCTTCTTCTCTTCCTCTTGAAATGTGGTTTTCATGAAATTAACCTTGGTTTCGCAGCTCAGGTGTTCTTCTGCCAGGTCTTTGGAGAAGTTGTCCTCCTTCTCTCTCATCTGGTCTTTCAGCTGTTTGACATCCGTCTCCCAGCTTTTGTTGTTCTTTGCCAGATGCTCGTTCTCCTCCTCCACCTGTTTTAGTTTGTCCTCCACCTGTTTGAGCTCAGTCTCACAGCTCAGGTTCTTCTTGGCCAGGTCGTCCTTTTCCTGAGACACCTCTTTTAGTTTGGTCTCCATCGAGATCTTTTCTCCCTGCTTTTCCAACTGGTCCACCAACTTTTGGACTTCCTTCTCCATGGCTTTGATTTTACAGGTCTGGTAAGTGTTGTGCTTCATCACCTGTTTCAATTTCAACTCCATCTTTTGTTTTTCCGTCTCCAAGGTGTGGTTTCTAGCGACCTGGTAGTTTTTCTCTTCCACTACATACTTCATGCCTTGTTTCTCACTCTCCCAGCTCTGTTGTTTCTCAGCCAGGTCCTTGGTGGACTTTTCCTGGCTCTGAATGAGTTCTTCCTCTCTTCTTTTCAGCAGGTTTATGGTCACCAGGTTCTCCTGCAGCTGCTGCTTGTGTTGCGCCTCTTTAGTTTCCATTTCCTCCTCCAGAGCGCCGTATCTTTCCTCCCAGATTGTCACACAATCAAGGAGTTCATCTCCTCTCATCACCAGCAGTTTTACGGTCTCTGCGTCAAACTGCAGGAGACTCTCATCGTTCTGGCTGTCGGATGTCTCCATGTTGCTCTGGTCTGACTTTGTTCCCTCCATGGCACTGTCTGTGGACTTGTGTTGTGCGTAGGGATAAAAATCTATGTGTCTACGTGATACGTGTTTTGTCTAGAAAACTGTAAAGTTTGTTTGCTCTGACTGAATATGTGTACCACTCACCGCTCTGACCTGAACAACTGAATGAGTTGACTGGAACCCAAAGCTCTTGCTATGCAAAGCTCTAAACCACCTGTGATGTCACGTGATGATGTCACCGATTCTACTTTCAACTGTGAAGATGTCATTCCGTTAGGGTCACATGTGATTCCGTTAGGGTCACATGTGATTCCGTTAAGGTCACATGTGATTCCGTTAGGGTCACATGTGATTCCGTTAAGGTCACATGGGATTTTGTCGTAAAATGCGATTAATTTGTCCCACTTTATGACTTTATAAGCATAATAAATGTTGTGCTTTAAGGTCTTTATAGTTACACAATGCCAATATTTAATTTTATGAATTTTCTTTAAGTTGTTTGGAGTCAAAGGTAACAAGCCTCTTTGTAAGCACAAATTTGTATTCATACAAAAATATAATTATGTATGATAAGTGCATTATTTGTGTGTTTGTTTCTACTTAGACACACTTACAAAATACTGACATTATATACAGATTAGGTGATTTAAAAAGAAAATCTTAATTTAAAAAATAACAAAAAAATTAAATGCATGATGCTTTTGGGCAAAACCTAATAACTGAATGCCTCCCTTATTGCTGACAGGATTTCATGATTTCATGACTTTATAAGCCCAATAAATGTTTGTGTTTCGAACACTTTACAGTTACGGAGCGTCCACACTACAGCTTCAAAAAAAGCTTGGAGCTGGGCGTGTCTGAAGCTTGGGGATTTTATTCGAGCAACGCGACCAACAACCAATCACATGAATCTCCCGCCCCCGACATACAAAGCAAAAAACCCCGGGGATTTTATGCGAGCAATATATATATATATATAAACTCCCCAAACAGGTGAAAACCTACCAGTTTCACCCACTGTCTCTGCCACCTCCCTCCATGCCTGGTTCCTCCGGGTTGCATCCCGGTAGGTGAAGAGGTTCTGGTCATACAAAACCGGGTGATTTGCTACGGCGATAAATAGTTTCTCCTCCATCTTTTTTTTAAATATAGAAATGAACGGCGGGATATTTCTCCCAGCTTCGACGCGGTTTGATTGGCTAGGGCTTGAGCTGTCAGATTTTCAGAAACGGGATTTGATTGGCTGGCGCTGGCTACTCCGGCGTCTCCGGCGTCAGAAGTTGAACATTGTTCAACTTCTGACGCCGGAGACGGACCGCTATGCTACCCACAATTCAGTTCGGCAAAAAGCGAGGCAACGTGACGTCACCCCCATTCAAAGTGAATGGGCAGACGCGTTGGAGACTGTTTTTGAAGCTGTCAACGCTGTAGTGTGGACGCAGCGTAACACAATGCAAAGATTTAACTTTATTTAATTTTCTCGATATTTATTTTATTCAATGGTAACAAACCTCTTGCATAGCACAAGTGTCTTTTCTGTTAGTCTTTGATCTCTGTTGTAATTATTTCAAGGATAAGAACTTTGGGTTCTAGCACTCCCAGACCATTTACATGCACAACAACTTATAACACACTACAGGAAAGGGAAAACCCCCCAAATCAGAATAAGGCCTCATATATAAAGACATTATAATTATAACTTAACAATAGTTTATATAAACAGTCTATGATTGTGACACATGCCTGTATAAAACAAGTGAGAGATGGCTCTTCTGTAATTTCAGTGCTACACATAGATTTCACCACGATGGATCTGGTAACGTTTGAGAAGGAGAACTGTGAGCGTATCCAAGCCGTTGAGACTTCATTCGGACCGGCAGGGAGGCCTCTATCCCAGCCAGGGAGAGTTCTGGTGGGTCAGGGTCATAAAGCAAGGACGTACTAGGAAGCCAGAGCCTAAAGTTTTCTTTCTGTTCAACGACATGCTGGTGTACGGCAGCATCATCCTGAACGGCCGCTGGCACAAAAAACAGAAAGTCATCCCTCTAGGTAAGCAGAACCCTAGATCTATCCGACAGATTCAAAAGATTCGATTCAAAGGTTTTATTGTCATATGAACAGTGTAGAAATGGCTATGAAATTCTTCTGACCTGAGCTCCTCCAACAATGCAACATGTATAATAAAATACAAAAATACAAAATAAAAAGTAGTGCATTTAGTCTATATCTAGATAACGATGATATGATGGAATGTATACCTCCGTAGAAGCTTTAGTGATGAAGTGTTTGTTTTTGTTTTGCCTTGTTGTAACTTTATATTCACGTGCAAAAGATATCTACAACAGCAAAACAATGGAGGTGCATGGCATTTAAAGTACACTGAAAAAAAGGGGAAAGTGGGGTTGTTCAATTTGCAAATATGCAGTTAATATATGAGACATAATTTATTCATGTTTCTCGTCGAAACATGAATCAATCATGTAGAACTATTTTAATCTTGAGGGCTGTACGTTCTATAAGTCTCAATCATGTTAAGAAATAAGAAAAAAGTTATGTTTATCTCTGTAACTCCGCCCACTGAGCACATACGTCAGCAGCTTGCTCTGCAGCCGATTACTCAGCTTCTAATTATTATTTACAAATATTTTATTCACAAATTAACATGGTCGGACTCAAACCCGTACTTTAATAGTTTCGTAATTGAACCTGAACAATATGGCACTTTAATGGACAAGATGTAAAGCAGAAAAAAATTGCAAAATATATTTATTTTTTAAAATGTGAAGCTTTTTATTTTTTAAACAAAGGAGGGGGGAGGGGTTCTACCATCTTTTCTTCCCGCATCGGAGGAGTAAGCTGGTTCTGTCCCGAGAACATCTCTACAAGGTAAAAGTTATTTAAAGTTATTTAATGTCATCAAATGTTCGTCATAGGTCATAGGTTATCACAAGACGCATTGTTTGCAAAAAGCAGAGTTCACATTTGCCGTTACAACGAGCAACGTAAATACAGCTGTCAATTTGTAAACATTGTCATTCACTGGTGTTAGCTAGGATAAAGCCATGAAAATCATAAGGTGAGTTTATATTGATTGACTTGTGTTTAGCGTGTTTTTATACTGTGAGTATTTGTAGAGCGTAAGTCCGGCAGTTGCTTGATTTACAATATTTAAAACTATGAACCTTGCCCAACGTTATGCACATTAAACCAGATTAACTATGGACAATCATGCGATTAATCGCGATTAAATATTTTAATCGACTGACAGCCCTAATTTTTTTAAATGTGTATGAATACATTTTGAAAAACATTTGATCAACAAAAAAAAAGGATTTGATCAGGATCTAGACTCAGTGTGTAGTTTATTAATTAATCAATGCTCTCTACATTAGGAACACACATACCAGTGTACCAGAGGGAGTCACACACAGCTGTGCCTAGATAACCAAACAAATTGACAAGATAACCAAAATCCTTGAATCTACACACAGCAAATAAACTCAAATGACACAAAGGAGATCACACATACAGTATAGTTGATATAAAACTGTCCGCTTCAATCTGAAGAGCAACTAAAACAAAACACGGGAGTGTACCTTGTTCTTGTGAACACTAATGTTATCCACAGCATACACAGAGACTACGAAGTTCTTAAGGAGAAAACTAGTTGCTAAAACAAAACACGTTAGTGTACCTTGTTAGCTAATGTTAGCTAGCTGACATTAACGTTACACATTGCACTCATATTACTCACCGAAACCTTGTAAAGCCGGTCCCGCTGCTGTTACAGAACCGACTAACTCCCCTTTCGTGTATGTACAGCTCTCAACATGCCCAGACTTGTAGTGATGTTCACCTCGTTTTATACTTTTCGTCTCAGTCTGAAAGAAACAGGTGAAATTTGCTAACGTGACGGCCATCTTTGTGATGGTGACGCGTTTTGTGCGAGACCAGAGACCTGTAGTTCACTGAGCGGTTTCTCACAAACAAATGTGTAACTTCACAGTTTTACGACACATTTACATTTTTTTGACTTGTAAAATGTTCTTTTAAATTGACAAACATCATATGTGTCATTCGTGGCACAATTCAAACGGGATCAAAAGATAACCTTTCTCTCTCCATTGACTTCAATGTATAATGTTCCGCCTCCGGGGTCCCATGGAGGCTCCCGGAAGGGGAGGGACTTCGCCTCTCTATATTGTGTGTGGGTGTGTCCCCCGGAAAGTGGAGGATATTAATGATTGTGTTACATTTTAGCAGCGGTGCACATACCATGAATATGGGGACATGCCGGACAGATCTTCAAGTAAGGGTTACGATCCACCCGCTGTGAAATGAACTTATCTTCCATATTTGCCGTACACTTGTGTTTACGGAAGTTGAGATGTTTCTCGGTTGTGATTGGTTGTTCCTCGTCACATGACGAGCGGTGCGCGCTGCTGCAGTGCACGTCTCCATTGAAACCAATGGAAATGAGCTCGCAACGCTGATGTGTATGGCTCCGTACAAAGTTGTACTCATTGCATTAGTGTAGGCTACTGTAGATTTTTACACTGGAGGCACCCATCTCGGCCGAAGTCGGTTCATGTTAACCTAAAGGTACATCATTAAATGGTAAATGTCGCCTTTAAGGAGCAGAACATTTTTGTTTTATTTGTGTGTGAATAATGAAATCATTTCAAATATGTTTTTCTGTGATAGGTAATTGGTGTGGAGAAGATTGACCTCAGCCTTGCTTTGAACATTCTTCCAAAGGCTCTGTAGTAAATGGTGAGTATTCAAATGTTTTGTGTGATTTACTTGACTAACTTAAACTTGATCTTTAACTAATTGAAAACTGGTATTAGTCTGACAATTTCTGAATGTTTATTCATAACATTTACATACTGCAAACATTGCAGGGATAAACACATTTTCTGATTTATTAGGCAAAAGTGATTCAGAAAGTGAGAGGCAATAGCCAAACATTCTGCGATAAAGCCTCCTTCACAAAAGTGATAATGTTTTGTTTGTTGAAATGGCTATAAGGGTGTTTCTTATATGTAGTCTTTAAAAAAAACGTAAACTAAATGAAATGTAATGTAGTCTAACCTGAGGCCTGTACTACGAAGCTGGTTCAACCTAACCTGGATATGTTTGAGTTAGCCGGTTGGCCTAATCCAAAACATACGCGCTCTCACTAAACTGTACTACGACGTGGGTTATCAAGTGGATCGCTCAAGCCAGCCGTGTCCTATCTAGTTAGGTGCGCGTTCACATGAAAGGGGTGGTATTTGGAGCATTCGACCAATCACAAACATGGAGAAGCGTACTGACAGCTCAGCGTCATAGTTACTGAATGAAAAGTCAACTATAATATTAGACAAATATGAAGACGTTAAACTTTAAACATCCATGACTTTATCCAGGATCAAAGCCACATAGCTGCACCTGCAAGGTGAATACAGCTGGCAAAAGAAAAAGTGTTTGAATGCATACATTAACAGGTTTATGATATCACTGCCCCGTCTAAGAGACGAGTGGATCTGACTTTAATTACATTTGTCTCGAGTGTTTCGTCAACTTAATGTGTTGCTTAAAATAATCCTTCTGCATACAGTATGTGACACTAGTGCTGTAGCGACGCGTCGACGACGTCGACTTCAAAATATCGTCGACGACATATTTCCGCGTCGACGCGTCGCTACCTTTATATATACAGTCTATGGTCGCTACACACACGTGGGTCACCCAAAGCAACAAGCAGTTCGCAATCGCACTTCAAACACAATGGAGACTGAAACGGCTACCACCTCCTCCTCACAGGATTGCGCACGAAGCCCCCAAACAAAAACATCTCGCCCTAGGTCTTCAAAAGCATGGGAATATTTTAAAGTTTGTCCAAAACGCAAAGATATTTATATATTTATATCTCACTGAGACTGCTGCATAGCCTAGGCCGGAAGCAGCAGCTAGCTGTGGTGGCTACCATTAGCAGCTAGCATTTGCTCTCCGATTTTTACATAAAAATGGAATTATGGATTATAAATTCAATATTTTTTATACATAGACGTTAAAAACCTATGGATTAACCGATTCAGCCGTGTTTTTTCTCATTTTAATGCCATTGAACACGTCTTTTGATCAGATTGACAGCTACGGTGGTGAGACGATCTCCCTAGAAGCTCTGTAAAGGTACGTGTTGTGATGACTGTATTTGCTTCCCCTGTCGCGAGTCCGGATCACTCAGTGATAATACTATATACCTACATAATCTGTGGAGTCTCAGCTTTAATCGGATATATTGTATGTGCAGCTACGATAAGTAATAAGGGTACTTTTATCTTGAGTTCTGTGCCAATGTCCGTTAGCATTTTTCGCTCAGGGGTCATTTAGATGCTTCTTATGAGACTTGTGTTTTGTTTTGGTAAACATGGTTTGTATCGTCAGTTAGCTGAGATTATTTCCGTTAATCTGGTATAACACATTAATAGGTTCTTAATATTAAGACACAGTATCGTGAAACATATTTTTTTACATTATGTTTTTTTTACATTACGTTTTTTATGAATTGAACAACAGAAAAATAATCGTTATGTCGACTAATCGATCAAATAATCGCCCGATTAATCGTTTTCAAAATAATCGTTTTCAAAATAATCGTTTCCCCCCAGCACTATGTGACACTGTGAGTGTTGCACGGCCAGATACGACTCAGCTGACTCAGATAAGGAGATATATGATACATTATGATGTGATATGCCGCGAATGAGTTGCAGGCGAACTTGAGCTCCAGGAGAAAACCCTAAATATGAATGTTCATGGCCTCAGTTTTCTTCATATTTACTGCCAGTACTTTTGTACTATGTGCAGCTGTTGTTGTATTTTTTCAGTTTGAGACAGTAGAGAACACCATCATCAGCATAAAGCAGAAACTTCACCTCATTATAGAGAGACCAGCAGCAGCACATTGCGCCAACCCAACAAGATTTAATTCATATATACATTAAATAACGTTTACATTTAAACCCTGAGCTTTGAATATACTTTAACAGCTCTTATGAAATCCTCACATTTTTGAAAAACAACAAAAACAAAACAATGTAATTGAACCCAAAAGTAGAAACACCAAAAACAATCTGTACAAAGATATTCTATTGTTGTTGCATTTATTAAATTCAAAGTTGTTTAAATCACAAATAGAACAGATACCGGTACTTTAGTAACCTAAATGTCATAAAGTAATGAATATATACTGTATATGTTTACACAGTGAGGCATACAAATAATACATTTAATTAACATTTTATTTTAAAATCAAGTCTAAACACAACTAAAAAACACTAAATATGAAAATGTGAAGGAAGGGAGGGGGTGATGTAGGAAGAAAGAGGTGAGGGAAATGGAGGAGAGAGTTTGGGGTGAAGTGAGGGGAGAGTATGGAGGAAGTAGGTAAATAAAGGATGGAGTAAGGTGAGAGAGGGTGAGGTAGCAGGAAGTAGGTACAGTAAATGGGGGAGGGACTTAATAGTGAGTTTTTTTACATCTATTATACAGATTGTGGGAAAACCTGAGCTCCAGGAGAAAACCCTGAGTATGAAAAGGGGAAGGCAGTAAGGGGTGAGGTAGGAGGAAGGAGGTGAGGGGAAATTGAGAAGAGAAAGAAGAGAGGAAAAGGCAGCTACTGACGTCCAGCCTCCTCCTTCTCCTCTTTCTCCCCCTTTGCTTTCTTTCTCATCTCCTTCTCTTGCATCTTGCGTAGCATTTTCTGCAAAATGGCGTCCCTTTCCTCAGTCGCCCTCCTGCGAGCGAAGAATCCTCTGCTCTTATTCTTCATGTGAAGACACAGGTCCTCCAGAAGTGTCTTTTCGTCGTCCATCTTCTTCTCTTTAGCCTCACAGCTCTCCTTCGCCTGTTTCAATCGTATCTCCTTCAAAATAACCCTGGTTTCCCAGCGCTGGTCTTTCTGGGTCAGGTCTTCTGAGAACTTTTCCTCCTTCTCTCTCATCTGGTCTTCAAGCTGCTTGACATCCGTCTCCCAGCTTTTTTTTAACTTGGCCAAATGATTCTTTTGCTTCTGCACCTGTTTGCATTTAGCCTCCACCTGTTTTAGCTGAGTCGCCCAGCTCTGGTGTTTTTCGGCCAAATCTTCAGAGAACTTTTTCTCTTGCTCATCCAGGTCGTTCTGCAGCTGCTGGACTTTCATGTCCTTCTGTTTGAAATCGATCTCCCAGCTCTTGTTTTCCTGGATCAGGATATATATGGATTCCTTGGCCTTTTCAAATTTTGCCTTAACCACTGTCTCCCCGATCAGCATTTTCAGAACCAGGTTGTCCTTCTTCTTCTCTTCCTCTTGAAATGTGGTTTTCATGAAATTAACCTTGGTTTCGCAGCTCAGGTGTTCTTCTGCCAGGTCTTTGGAGAAGTTGTCCTCCTTCTCTCTCATCTGGTCTTTCAGCTGTTTGACATCCGTCTCCCAGCTTTTGTTGTTCTTTGCCAGATGCTCGTTCTCCTCCTCCACCTGTTTTAGTTTGTCCTCCACCTGTTTGAGCTCAGTCTCACAGCTCAGGTTCTTCTTGGCCAGGTCGTCCTTTTCCTGAGACACCTCTTTTAGTTTGGTCTCCATCGAGATCTTTTCTCCCTGCTTTTCCAACTGGTCCACCAACTTTTGGACTTCCTTCTCCATGGCTTTGATTTTACAGGTCTGGTAAGTGTTGTGCTTCATCACCTGTTTCAATTTCAACTCCATCTTTTGTTTTTCCGTCTCCAAGGTGTGGTTTCTAGCGACCTGGTAGTTTTTCTCTTCCACTACATACTTCATGCCTTGTTTCTCACTCTCCCAGCTCTGTTGTTTCTCAGCCAGGTCCTTGGTGGACTTTTCCTGGCTCTGAATGAGTTCTTCCTCTCTTCTTTTCAGCAGGTTTATGGTCACCAGGTTCTCCTGCAGCTGCTGCTTGTGTTGCGCCTCTTTAGTTTCCATTTCCTCCTCCAGAGCGCCGTATCTTTCCTCCCAGATTGTCACACAATCAAGGAGTTCATCTCCTCTCATCACCAGCAGTTTTACGGTCTCTGCGTCAAACTGCAGGAGACTCTCATCGTTCTGGCTGTCGGATGTCTCCATGTTGCTCTGGTCTGACTTTGTTCCCTCCATGGCACTGTCTGTGGACTTGTGTTGTGCGTAGGGATAAAAATCTATGTGTCTACGTGATACGTGTTTTGTCTAGAAAACTGTAAAGTTTGTTTGCTCTGACTGAATATGTGTACCACTCACCGCTCTGAACTGAACAACTGAATGAGTTGACTGGAACCCAAAGCTCTTGCTATGCAAAGCTCTAAACCACCTGTGATGTCACGTGATGATGTCACCGATTCTACTTTCAACTGTGAAGATGTCATTCCGTTAGGGTCACATGTGATTCCGTTAGGGTCACATGTGATTCCGTTAAGGTCACATGTGATTCCGTTAGGGTCACATGTGATTCCGTTAAGGTCACATGGGATTTTGTCGTAAAATGCGATTAATTTGTCCCACTTTATGACTTTATAAGCATAATAAATGTTGTGCTTTAAGGTCTTTATAGTTACACAATGCCAATATTTAATTTTATGAATTTTCTTTAAGTTGTTTGGAGTCAAAGGTAACAAGCCTCTTTGTAAGCACAAATTTGTATTCATACAAAAATATAATTATGTATTATAAGTGCATTATTTGTGTGTTTGTTTCTACTTAGACACACTTACAAAATACTGACATTATATACAGATTAGGTGATTTAAAAAGAAAATCTTAATTTAAAAAATAACAAAAAAATTAAATGCATGATGCTTTTGGGCAAAACCTAATAACTGAATGCCTCCCTTATTGCTGACAGGATTTCATGATTTCATGACTTTATAAGCCCAATAAATGTTTGTGTTTCGAACACTTTACAGTTACGGAGCGTCCACACTACAGCTTCAAAAAAAGCTTGGAGCTGGGCGTGTCTGAAGCTTGGGGATTTTATTCGAGCAACGCGACCAACAACCAATCACATGAATCTCCCGCCCCCGACATACAAAGCAAAAAACCCCGGGGATTTTATGCGAGCAATATATATATATATATAAACTCCCCAAACAGGTGAAAACCTACCAGTTTCACCCACTGTCTCTGCCACCTCCCTCCATGCCTGGTTCCTCCGGGTTGCATCCCGGTAGGTGAAGAGGTTCTGGTCATACAAAACCGGGTGATTTGCTACGGCGATAAATAGTTTCTCCTCCATCTTTTTTTTAAATATAGAAATGAACGGCGGGATATTTCTCCCAGCTTCGACGCGGTTTGATTGGCTAGGGCTTGAGCTGTCAGATTTTCAGAAACGGGATTTGATTGGCTGGCGCTGGCTACTCCGGCGTCTCCGGCGTCAGAAGTTGAACATTGTTCAACTTCTGACGCCGGAGACGGACCGCTATGCTACCCACAATTCAGTTCGGCAAAAAGCGAGGCAACGTGACGTCACCCCATTCAAAGTGAATGGGCAGACGCGTTGGAGACTGTTTTTGAAGCTGTCAACGCTGTAGTGTGGACGCAGCGTAACACAATGCAAAGATTTAACTTTATTTAATTTTCTCGATATTTATTTTATTCAATGGTAACAAACCTCTTGCATAGCACAAGTGTCTTTTCTGTTAGTCTTTGATCTCTGTTGTAATTATTTCAAGGATAAGAACTTTGGGTTCTAGCACTCCCAGACCATTTACATGCACAACAACTTATAACACACTACAGGAAAGGGAAAACCCCCCAAATCAGAATAAGGCCTCATATATAAAGACATTATAATTATAACTTAACAATAGTTTATATAAACAGTCTATGATTGTGACACATGCCTGTATAAAACAAGTGAGAGATGGCTCTTCTGTAATTTCAGTGCTACACATAGATTTCACCACGATGGATCTGGTAACGTTTGAGAAGGAGAACTGTGAGCGTATCCAAGCCGTTGAGACTTCATTCGGACCGGCAGGGAGGCCTCTATCCCAGCCAGGGAGAGTTCTGGTGGGTCAGGGTCATAAAGCAAGGACGTACTAGGAAGCCAGAGCCTAAAGTTTTCTTTCTGTTCAACGACATGCTGGTGTACGGCAGCATTATCCTGAACGGCCGCTGGCACAAAAAACAGAAAGTCATCCCTCTAGGTAAGCAGAACCCTAGATCTATCCGACAGATTCAAAAGATTCGATTCAAAGGTTTTATTGTCATATGAACAGTGTAGAAATGGCTATGAAATTCTTCTGACCTGAGCTCCTCCAACAATGCAACATGTATAATAAAATACAAAAATACAAAATAAAAAGTAGTGCATTTAGTCTATATCTAGATAACGATGATATGATGGAATGTATACCTCCGTAGAAGCTTTAGTGATGAAGTGTTTGTTTTTGTTTTGCCTTGTTGTAACTTTATATTCACGTGCAAAAGATATCTACAACAGCAAAACAATGGAGGTGCATGGCATTTAAAGTACACTGAAAAAAAGGGGAAAGTGGGGTTGTTCAATTTGCAAATATGCAGTTAATATATGAGACATAATTTATTCATGTTTCTCGTCGAAACATGAATCAATCATGTGGAACTATTTTAATCTTGAGGGCTGTACGTTCTATAAGTCTCAATCATGTTAAGAAATAAGAAAAAAGTTATGTTTATCTCTGTAACTCCGCCCACTGAGCACATACGTCAGCATCTTGCTCTGCAGCCGATTACTCAGCTTCTAATTATTATTTACAAATATTTTATTCACAAATTAACATGGTCGGACTCAAACCCGTACTTTAATAGTTTCGTAATTGAACCTGAACAATATGGCACTTTAATGGACAAGATGTAAAGCAGAAAAAAATTGCAAAATATATTTATTTTTTAAAATGTGAAGCTTTTTATTTTTTAAACAAAGGAGGGGGGAGGGGTTCTACCATCTTTTCTTCCCGCATCGGAGGAGTAAGCTGGTTCTGTCCCGAGAACATCTCTACAAGGTAAAAGTTATTTAAAGTTATTTAATGTCATCAAATGTTCGTCATAGGTCATAGGTTATCACAAGACGCATTGTTTGCAAAAAGCAGAGTTCACATTTGCCGTTACAACGAGCAACGTAAATACAGCTGTCAATTTGTAAACATTGTCATTCACTGGTGTTAGCTAGGATAAAGCCATGAAAATCATAAGGTGAGTTTATATTGATTGACTTGTGTTTAGCGTGTTTTTATACTGTGAGTATTTGTAGAGCGTAAGTCCGGCAGTTGCTTGATTTACAATATTTAAAACTATGAACCTTGCCCAACGTTATGCACATTAAACCAGATTAACTATGGACAATCATGCGATTAATCGCGATTAAATATTTTAATCGACTGACAGCCCTAATTTTTTTAAATGTGTATGAATACATTTTGAAAAACATTTGATCAACAAAAAAAAAGGATTTGATCAGGATCTAGACTCAGTGTGTAGTTTATTAATTAATCAATGCTCTCTACATTAGGAACACACATACCAGTGTACCAGAGGGAGTCACACACAGCTGTGCCTAGATAACCAAACAAATTGACAAGATAACCAAAATCCTTGAATCTACACACAGCAAATAAACTCAAATGACACAAAGGAGATCACACATACAGTATAGTTGATATAAAACTGTCCGCTTCAATCTGAAGAGCAACTAAAACAAAACACGGGAGTGTACCTTGTTCTTGTGAACACTAATGTTATCCACAGCATACACAGAGACTACGAAGTTCTTAAGGAGAAAACTAGTTGCTAAAACAAAACACGTTAGTGTACCTTGTTAGCTAATGTTAGCTAGCTGACATTAACGTTACACATTGCACTCATATTACTCACCGAAACCTTGTAAAGCCGGTCCCGCATGCTGGCTCTTACAGAACCGACTAACTCCCCTTTCATATAGGTACAGCTCTCAACGTGCCCAGACTTGTAGTGATTTTCACCTCGTAAAATACTTTTATTCTCATTCTGAAAGAATGTGATGAAATGTGCTAACGTGACGGCCATCTTTATGTTGGTGACGCGTATTGTGCGAGACGAGAGACCTGTAGTTCACTGAGCGGTTTCACACAAACAAATGTGTAACTTCACAGTTTTACGACACATTTACATTTTTTTGACTTGCAAAATGTTCTTTTAAATTGACAAACATCATATGTGTCATTCGTGGCACAATTCAAACGGGATCAAAAGATAACCTTTCTCTCTCCATTGACTTCAATGTATAATTTTCCGCTTCCGGGGTCCCATGGAGGCTTTCGGAAGGGGAGGGACTTCGCCTCTCTATAGTAACTCAACGAGAGAGTAATGTCAAATGACAGTACAATTGACCAATCATATCTTCCTTCTAAATGGGCGGGATTTATTTTCGCGGACTTTATGACAAGTTCCGCCCGCTGTGAAGTCTATGCAAGTGGTGCAGTGACGCGTCCTAAAACCCGGAAGTAAGCTTCGCTCGGATTCCCTCGACAGAAAGCAACGGGATATCTCCATAGGATTTTGGAAAATAGCTCCAAATAAGGTCTGTGGAAAACGAACCTGTTAGATAAATGCACCTTTTGGGGGGGGGGGGGGGGGGGGGTCAGAGGGCCTAGGTATAAAAGTCACGGCTCGCCACTGGTCTGTAACCTCTGACAAAGATGGCAGCAGGATTAGAGGTTCAATCTGCAAACCATTCACCACCCAGTAGAAGGTCTAAAAGGGGTTCGCAGTCCCTGTTTAGAAACTCTCCTAACTAAGAAATATAGATCTTTCAGTTAGCTGAATTTACAAGGTTTTCGTGTTTGACAGTTTTTAAATGTTGAAGCATCAGTAGTCTGAAACCTAAATAATCTATTTAGCTGTTTTGTTGTGGATTAAAAGTGTTTGCATCAACATCAACAAAGTGAAAGGAGAGATTTGAGTAGGTTCTATGGACACATGTTTTTTTGTTGTCAAATTATGCTGGCTATATGCGCTGTCCTACATTAAGCAGAATAATTCAAACGTTTGAGTCTAAAGGAGTGAGTATATGTGATACTCATTTTCAAGCAGTATTCCTTTAAAGATCCCATGTCATACTTTTCCGGTTATTGCCCGTCCCCTTGTGTGTTATGAAGGTTTTTATGCATGTGAACGGTCTGCAAAGTCAAAAACCCTCAAAGTACACCCTGTAGTGAGTAAAACTCTAACACAGAAAATACCTGTCTTCTCTTTTTCTTCCTGGGTACAGTGACGTGCCCATACCCAAATGGACCAATCCGCGGAGCCATTACGACCTCACACACACACACACACTCAATCTTTTCTCAGCTGCAGCTCTGCCGATTTCTCCTCCCTGAGGCGGCGGGATGCGGCGAGGCTGTGAGTCGGTGTGTGTGTTTTGGGCTGGGTTTCGCTGTGTCTCGCTGTCTCGCAGACGGCTACTGGGCTCATAGGGGGGGGGGGGGCAGGAGCTCCAACAAGCCGTGTAGGACAGAGAGTGAATACACATACTATACAGAGATGCTGTATAAGAAAACAATGTGATTTTTGAAAATTGCACAATATAAATCTATTTTAGTAGACCTCAACAATGGAATTATGATCAGTAGAAATGGCCATGACATGGGACCTTTAAGGAGTTTATACAACGGCTTGGAGTTGAAATGTTTATTCTGAGAAGTGGACAGGTGAAAAAGATAAATTGAACCATATCATTAATTAATACTAATTAAAATATATGAACTAACAACAATCAATCACTTTTAATTGACACGTTTGTGGTTAAGCATCTGCTTGAATCAATCAATTTTTCAATGTGCTCATGTGTTAACAAAAGCCTTTGCCTGTTTCTATGAGGGGCCGTACAGGCCATAATTCATACTGGTCCTCTCACGCACATACATTCTCCTTTTACATACATATATTTTCACTCTTACATACATACATTCTCCTTTTACATACATATATTTTCACTTTTACATACATATATTTTCACTCTTACATACATACATTCTCCTTTTACATACATATATTTCCACTCTTACATACATACATTCTCCTTTTACATACATATATTTTCACTCTTACACAGACCCGGCGCCAGAACAAATCTAAAGGGAGGGCATATGATTTTCATGGGAGGGCACACAAAACAGTCACGTGCTGCGGGCCTGCGGCACAATATATATAAAACAGCAAGGCCAACAGCTTTGTGTAAAGACGCACACTTATCGTAAATACATACACAAATAAAGGGCAACATAGAAACCACTTTTGAAACATTGTGTGCGTGGCAGCACAAACACTGGTAAATCACGAGCAAGGCACACTGGTTAAGGATGGCAGCTTCCTCATCGCTGCACTCGGAGAGAAATAGAGAGGGAGACGATGAGCTGTTTAGCCCGCCTTGGGCATGGTTTATTTTCCTATGCACTGCACTCGGACATGCTGTGGAGTGAATCGAGTCACCTCTGAGAGGGAGTTGGTTGACAGCTAAAAAAGCTATAATATCAACAACAGCTGACACGTAATAACGGCTCCGTGCAGCTGATCTGCACCAAAGTACTTATTTCCTTATTTGTTTCCTTGCGTATCTGTCTCTCTCCACAAACTCTCACATAAAATGTGTTCTTTTGATGCGGCATGTCTTAGCAGTCCTTTATCAGTCTGCAATGCGTGTTTCCAGTCGCAAAAACATTTGACAGTATAGCCACATCAGATGAATACGTATTTACTTTAAACTGTCTAAGGGGAAACAAAAGGCTGCGTCTGCTTAACGAATATTCAAGCCATGGTCTGTTGTTGTACCATGCAGCAGCAAAAGTGCGCTTCTTTCCTGAAAACAATCTCCCTGATAACGATCCAGTTTCACCTGGTTGGGTTTATTAACCCCAAGATCATCTGGGGCTGTTGGTCTTTGAGCGGTTGCTGGCCCAATAATACCTGTTGATGTGCTGCAAGGTAGCGTCTGTAGTGGAGGCACCGGCACGGAGGAGGAGGATGCTGGCGGGTGTGGTGCAGGGTGTGGCAACGCAGGTGGTGATGGTAGGGGCACAAGGAGCTGTGCCTCAGAGGACAGCGTTGGTGGCGGCCGCCTTGATGAGTCAAGGTT